TTTTAGGTAAAATCTCAATTTTGACAACCTTGGGTATAATACTGCATCACATTTCAGCATCAATTCCCCTTTTCACCCTTCTCTTTTATTAAAATATTAATATTAGTATTTGTTTATTGAAATAATGTCATGCACTCTAAATTATATAATATAATCTATTAGAAAAAAGACCTAATATTAAGAGTTATCATTTTATCCAATAACTCTGGTTTTTCAGATACCGTAAAACAAACTCCTTGTACAAGCCGCCGCTCCTTCCTACAAACCCCATAAAATGATCACTAACATTTTGTCAAAGTACAGGGAACAACATTCTGAGAGACACCTGACTCCCCTTTTTTTTTTTTTTGGTATGTTCCTTAATTGGTTGGAAGAAAAAACATAGCAGCATGAGTCCAGCCAGAATTGGCCATCGAATACGCTGTTCTATGGAAAAGATTCCCTCTGCTAATAATACCAAATGAACCATGCAGTATGCACTGTACTGCGTACTTGGAGGATCAAGTATCCACCGAAGAAAGAGTACGGATAAAAAGCATAACTATTTACGAGCACAAAATAGTTTGGAACTATCCCAACTATATTATGTGCATTCAAAGAGATCTGTGAAGTCTTTCCATTAACCATACCATACTCCTTTTCTCTTCTCCCACACCTAATGATGTTGTGGGAGAGAACCCACATGCACACTTTCATTTGAGCAACCTAGAAAACAATACAAGCCATGGTACTTGTCCCCAGTGATTATGAGTTCCCATGTGCAATGATTAACATCAACGTCCCGGACAAACCAAACCCATGTGGCTGACATTACCCAAAAATTTGAGAACCCCACTTAGGAATGATGGTTTCTCTATGTAATCTTGTCATTCACATACTTCCAAGCAAGCAAAATTTCCTAGCAAAGGTTCTCTGTGAGCTGTAATGCCATACAAATACAAATGCAAATGCAATACACAATTCTCCTGCAAAATTATATCCATATATACACTGCCGTAGCAATTCTCAAAACGAAACCATAACTACAAGATAATCATAAAAAGCCTCCGCAACTTCAACTAAGCATAAATACATAAAACATGAAAAGGAAAACCATTTCAGTGTTGTTATAACAAGAAGATAATGGTTAAACTTACATTCATAGGAGGATTAGCCAATACGGAACCTAGTCTGCGTTACAGCTTTCAATAACAATTCTTCACTGTCCAAAACAAGCCAGTTAGTTGAAACAACCCAATATGACAACCACTACTCTTCAATACTCAACCCAAATACAAATTCACCAAACTCTCACTCCTGCAATCATCATTTTGCCCAAAACCATTGACTCAAATCCAAGACAATAAAAAGCAGAGAATTTAATAAATTGGACAAAACCTACAACATTAATCTTGTGTTCTATTCTAAGAAATAAATAACAAACAACCAAAATAAACCACACTAAAGTCAAAATTCCCAAATTGATTTTCATTTTCATCAAAAACAAAGTAACTTCAACTAAATTCTTCTAACCCCATTACACCAAACACCTAAACCCAACGTAAACTAAACTAATTAACCCAAAAAATGAAAAGAAAAGAAAAGGTACCTAGATTGTAGTACTACCACTATTCAACTATATCCTACCCTTTATCCACAGGCTTCACCACCAACATAGTCAACTGCTGCTTCTGCCTCCTCATCTCCATTATCTTCCTGTGTGAATTTGAGTGTAACTCATTTGAAAAAGAGGGGCTGCTAGCAGGGCGATACTCATCACAAAGCCGCCCCGACTTATATCTCACCCCACAAGCGTTACAGAGCGTTTTAGGCCCGAGTGGTCCAGCTCTCCATTGTGGAGTCTTTTCAGCCCCACAATGCTGGCATTTCCTACCCATAGTCCTTGCACTCGCAGCTGCATTCTTCGCATTTTCATGAACCCACCAGCGCCCCTTGGTCTGAAGGTCATTCCGTAACTTGCGCGGGTACTTGCTGCGAGCTTTCACTGGTACCCGCGGCCTGTCCCAGCCATACATAACACTATTTCCGTTAGTCAAAGTGCTTCCATTTGTGCTGCTGCTGCTGTTACTGTTCTCAAGCACAGATACTGGACTGGTCTGCTTAGTTAACCCGTTCTCCAGCACATATATTGATTCCACCGCCGGAAATGCATCTTTGTTCGATATCCATTCAAGCTCCTCCTCACCAACATGTTCCTGCAAAGGGAAAGAAATCAGAACCAAAAACTAAAATATATATTTTAAAAAAATGAGTTGACTCAGTGACTCGGGCCAGCTACCACCATAAACCATACACGCTATTTGTTTGCGTCGGGACGAAGAATTTTAGGAGAATAAAAAAAGTCCAACTCCATGATTGACAAACTTTGAAAATTTCGATTCCCAATAAGGGTATAAAGGAAAATATACTTCTGTGGTCCCAATAAATTTATCATTGTTACAATTATGGTTTGGTGAGGAACAGCTCAGAAAATAATGACGTTCACAAATTTCAAATTGCAAAACTACCCTTGGATAGGGTCTAGGTCTCACGTTATCCACAATGGCATCGAGTTGGAAATATGGATTTTTCAGAGGGGCAAAGTTGTCACGCGACTGTACCAAAACAATTTGTTCAATTTTCAAAGAGATATCAAAGCACCGTGTACCATTCAAATGCCGTCTGCTTTGACCCCGGACGGGGTGCAAATCGCACTGACTCGTTTCGGAACTCACGTATCGACTCGGCCACTCGCCCGAGTCTGACTAACCTAACCGAGTCATGCCGAGTCAGAACTTCCCTGCCCCCCAAAAAAAACCTACAAAACCGCAAGACCCGGCCGATTCAGTACCAAACTCGGCCGCTTTTTGCAAACAAAACAAAGAACATGACCCAAGACTTACATGGGAAGAGCGGGTAGTGTGTACGGAGGGGAGAGGCTTGCACGGTTTCCTGTCCTCGTCGTCGTCTGCCTCCCCTATGTCGGAGCCGAAGTTGAAGAGGTCGTCCACGAAACAGGAAGCGGCGGGGTCTAGAGACTCCATCTGTAAAGAGCGCGTGCGACGAAGGGAAAACCCCGGTGAGGGTTTCCTTTATACAGAAAAGGAAAGAGAGGAAGGATAGAGGGAAACTGGTACGAAGGAGGAAGGAGGTGCAGATTCTGTCTTTTCTTTTGGTTTGGCTATATTCTCCCTACGGCGTTTGCGAGGGTTCTTGTTTTTGTTCTCATTTTTTCTTCTTCGCCTCATTATTTACTTCCCATTCACATAACGTCTCCTGGGTTACACTCTCCTGCGATAACGCTTCACCTTCCATTTTCTACTCCAGGCAATCGTAACCGTTCAACTCATCTTGAAAATGAATCTGTGGACCCCCAGTTGGTAGTTTATTATAATATCACGTGAATAGTATTTGAAAATGTCATGACTACAAATATAACGTGATATTATAAAATCTTTTTTTTTATTTAGTTGTTAGGATATTTTTGAAATAATTTAAGTAATTTAAAATTAATTTCTTTCAATTAATTAAAAATATATTATTTATATTAAGATTATAAAATTTATAAAAAAAATTATTTGCTCGTTGATCTCCTCAAAAGTTTATATCTTAAATAACAAGAAAAGAAATAAAACTCATTACTAATTAAATTACAACTTCTTATGAACTTTTAATATAATTATCGATATATAATTAATTTTTTATTTAAAGATTTATTTGTAATTATTTACATCATAAATTACAAAAATTAAAGATCATGCCATGTGTAAAAAAAAATTTAATAGATGGAGGAGATTTTGTCAATATGCAATTTTGAATCCCATGACAAATCAGCTGCCACGTAAAAAAGAAGAAGATAAAAATATAAGATTGTATCTTTTAGTTACCTTTTTGAGGTAAATTGGGTTTGTTTTAACTTAAATACAAGAGGTGGTTTTAGTTATAGGTATGAGTTATTAGATAAGAGGACAAGTGGTGAAATCTAAAAAGAAATCTAATTCTGTCAATTGCTGAGGTGTTTCACTTCTTCAAAAAAACTACTTGTGGTTTTTGTAACTATAGATAGTGGGAAGTTATAATCGAGAATAGGGAAACAAAAAGGAAATTTTGGATCACATAACACACGGCTAGCCTCCACACTCAACTTGCAAATTTTCAGACTTTCTTTTTCTCTGTAATTGCTTACAGATTTTAGATTGCAACACAATTTACGATAGATCTAAGTTGTTTTTCATAATTTCAGTAGTAAATTAGTTCAAGTAGTTGTTTCAGCACTTTCATTTCATGTATTGAGCATCAAACTTTGAATTTCTTGATGGTATTGTTACTTTTTTTACTATTGTTTATTTAATATTTATGATAAGTAGTGTTTTATTAAGTAATATACTTATATAATGTTCACGCTTCTCAATTTTAAGCATGTTAGTTTAATCAATGTTCATATTTAATTTTAGTGTTGTTTAAGGTTAGAACTCAAAATTTTGTAATAGTTTAATTTCCAGATTTATCAGTAGATAATATTTTAATTTGACAATGAATATGTTTAATTTAATTTGGGTACATCTTGTTCTTGCAAGTTTACTTTAAAATAAATGCTATTTAG